CGAAGAGCAGAGAAGATTGCCAATTCAAGCTGGCCTCAGCCTCGGATTGCTTGAGATCATGAACACAAGCTAATCGAAGAAGTCGGCCCAACTCCACTCGAATAGATGGACTACTCGTCGTTTTGGTCGTCGTCGTCTTCAATATTGACTCTAGATTACTCGAATTCAGAACTTCCAAACTTCGGTACAAATTTGAAATAAAACTCTTGTCATGGTTTCCCAACTAAATCATCGTTTCAAATGTTTTTAGATGATTGATGTTTGATTGTTTGATGAGAAAAAAAGAAAAGAAAGGAATTCCTTTTAAGGAGGGGTCAAAAAGGTAAACCATTGGGTAATCGAACAAGGATACAAGGAAACGTGTGCTCACTTTGAGGCTCTCCATGAGGACGACCTCACCGGCCCAGAGCTCCTTTTTGCCGGCCTTAGCTTTCAACTCGCGATAGGGTGAAAGAGCAGAAGCGAGGAAGAGCCGCCGTTTGAGGGCGTTTGAGCGAGGCAGCAGTTTGGAGATGTTGGGAGGCAGAGTCGACGATGACAGATTGGAATCATTGGTGAGGTGAAGGAGCCCGGCTAGACAGGTTGCCGTTTCGACGGCTATTGATGGCTCGATTGTCTCCTCTTTTAGACTCTTGGGAGGGCTGAAAACTAGCTTGTATAGGCCGAGTTCTTCGATCATTTTCAGCGAAGATAACGGATCCCGACCTGTGTTTTTTTTTCACATTCAAATTCAACACCCGATGGAACTTTTGCATCAGTTCGATCACTCAATCGATACCCACCTTTCAACATCTTGTCCACCTCTGTTCCTACTCTTTCCCTACTAATTTTTTCCTTCAATGCAACCTATTTTTTTTGAAAGATGGAATTTCAACAATCAAGCCCGACAATATAAAGCGAGTTTTTTTCAGCAGAGGAGTCTACTCTGATGGGTCAGATGTGGCAGCAGAAACGATATCTGCATCCAATCGATAGCCGAAGCGAGTCGCGAATCTGATGCACCTCAAGAGACGAAGAGGGTCGTCCTTGAAAGTATGTTCGGCTGGTAGTGGGGTCCGGATTAATCCCACTTCAAGATCTTCTAGACCCTACAATTATACATTAATAAAAAATACATGAGGATGTGTATTGAACTTGCAAGGTGTTTGGTTTTGGATCAATTCAAAAAGTTTGCTTTGTCTTACTTTTCCAGTGTGGTCTTCTATGGCTCCTGTATGTACGTTATAGAATAAGGAATTGATCGTGATGTCTCGTCGCAATGCATCTTCTAAAGGCGTCCCAAATCTCTGTGTGTGTGTTTTTCAGTCCCAGCAAAAAGAGGACGTTGGCAACTCAAACAAGTGATCAGCCTTCATTCTCATCAAGCCTGGGCAAATATTTAAAAAAAAAAAAATGAGGAACAGATAAGCAAAAAAAAGACTAACGACTGAGCTTGGGATGCGACTATCCTGATCGCCGTATTCCTCACTTCTGAGTTGGACGAAGTCGAGGTCCAAACCGAGGAAAGTAGTGGTGGCAGTTTCGAGATGTTTGCTCTGATCGGGCCTGGCCTCGATAGTTGCGATCTTGCCCAGCTCAAACGTCTCTTCTCCTCCATCTCCTGCTTCTTTCGTCGTCTGATTCTCGCTCTGTCCCTCTCTCTTCAGTCGTTGTTGGTCTCGCAGATAGCTCGAGAATCGGGTGGCGAAGTCTTGCCCCGTTAAGGATGAGATGGCTATGTCTAGATCGTTAGATTGGACCCCAAGTAACTACATTATACACAAGCCAGTATTAGCTTCCTGTTTGTCGATGATTTATACAGCATCTTTCGCCGATCGAAACCCTGACCTTATCTCTGACCCAGCCACCAGCGATTCTCAGAGTGAGTGAGTTCAAGTCCTGATTGGTGGATGATGCTGATGCTTTGAGATGAGAGACGGATTGATTGAGGAGTTGGCATAGTTTTGACTCGGCCCTGTTGAGCTCGATCTCCTGGTCTTTCTTGATCCTCATCGTCATCCTGGATACTAATAACCTCTTCTGGTTCGGTTGGTTGTGGTCAGTTGTGCTTGTTGTTCTTCGTTTCAGACATCCCATCAATCTCGATAGTCCTTGCTGGTCGAAGTAGTTCCTGAGTGGGTTCAGTCTCATTCAGCTCGTGCTCTTCTGGTTGATGGTCATCAAGGAACACAAGAGCCCCATCCGATCTCCCACATCCCTATCAAAAGCAAACATACTCATCCCAAAACAGTACATTCACCCTTTGTTAATCCCTACTGCTCATACCACAACAGCCTAACAAAGTGACTGTCAATCTGCAGACCAGACTGTGGGCAATTCCCATCAAACAATTTCAGCTCAGCAAGCATAAATGGAAGAACAGGAGCTATGAACGTGTGATCCCGACTGCCCATATTTTTGATTATAGTGACCCTCTCCTCCAATAGGCCAGTTCACGTAGCTGCTCATCCGCAGTTAAAAAATTTATGATGAGCAAAATTTAATCAAATTCTCTCCTAAATTTTTACCTTATAAATCCCTGGGATTTCAAACCCATGAGAATCTCACTGTTACCCGACAAGCAGATGGAAATGTGCCCATCATTCTAACTCCATCCACCTCCATCCCCCGATCCCCCTACACCCCTCAGCTCAATACGGTACTACCCTCACTTTTCAAACACCTCAGCACACCCTCAGCACACCCTCAACACCCTCACAAACTGCAACAAGCTTGTAAGTATAATTCCACCTACATTAAGAATTCTGCCTGACAGACTGACATGGTTTTTTTGATTTTATTCTAGCATAATGAGAGGGTATTCAGAAAGGCAGAGCCTCATCCGTGATATGTTTATGATTATCGTATGGATGGAGCATAACGAACTTGAAGATATGGTGGACGCTGTGATTTTACGACGGAAACCATTCCCAACTGATGGAGAGATAGCCTTCCCTAAAAACAAGTTGCTTCAGCTGATGTATGATCTCCTCTTAAGTGATCGGGCGTTATTTGAAGAACAACTTCAGATCATTCTGAGAAGCCGATATCTGTCTCCTCGTCCAACCCCCAAAACTCGAGATGAATTTGACCTCGAAAGGCTCTTCAACATGCCAGACATGGACTTCCGACAAGCTTCACGGACCACCAAAGCCGGATTTGTTGAATTACTCAACATTATCTGCATGAACCCAGTCTTTCATCGCGGGGGTATTCGTCCACAGCTACCAATCGCTCATCAACTGGCCTTGACCCTGGAGCGCCTGGGATCGAATGGGAATGCAGCCTCTGTTGGCCGCTTTTCTCGGAACTTGAACGTTGGCCGCGGCACTGTCATCAAAGCCACTCGTCGGGTCATTGAAGCACTCGTTTCCTTAGGTCGACAATACGTTATGTGGCCCAATTCCACTCGTCGGGCCGAGATATCAGAAGTTATGAAGAACGAGGGATTTGTTGGATGTGTCGGATTTGTTGACGGAACAACAATTCCCCTATTTCAGCGGCCCGGGTATGATGGCGAGGTATTCTACGACCGAAAAAGACGGTATTCGATCAACGCTCAAATAATCTGTGATTGCGACAAGTACATCACATCATTCATCACGGGCTGGCCTGGTACATGTGGGGATAGCCTAGTTTACAAGAGGATGCAGCTGCATCTCAACCCCTCCCAGTATTTCGACGATGGTAAGGTGTCTGTTTTGCTTGCTCATATGGCTTCCAACTTGGTCTCTGATGTCGGCTGTCTTGTTTGTTTGCTTGTTCAGGTCAGTACTTATTGGCCGACTCAGCTTATGAGGTCTCAAAAACAGTTGTTCCAGCCTACAAAAACCCTTCAGCCAAGATCCCAATCAACGCCGACTTCAATTACTGCCTTGCAAAGGCTCGAGTCCGAAACGAACATACAATTGGGGTCCTCAAGTCTCGATGGAGTTCGTTGCGGGAGATGCGATTGCACCTCTATCGTCGGAGCGACATGCGGGAACATGTAGCCTGGCTTTACAGCTGCATCATTCTACACAACATCCTTGCAAAGCTCGGTGATCAGTGGTCCGAGATTGTTGCTGATAATTCCAACGGCTTGCCTGCTTCACCCGCTTTTCCAACTGAGGATAGTGAGGACGGTGATTCATTTCGAAAACGCTTGACAGTTGAATGTGTTAAATTCAACTACCAAAAGGGTGTCCTCCCTATCTAAATTTGATCATACTGTCTAATATTTTTTCTTGATTAATTTTTCAACTTGTGTGTGACACTCATTTTTCCCTTTACTTCTCACTTGGTCTTGCTTTCTTGGCTCACTTGCTTGGTCTTCAACTTCTATCTTGATTCAGCAATGAGATTGATCCATTGGTTAGATAAGTTGAAATAAAGCAGAATGAAAAGAAAGTCGATTGGAAACGATCGACTCTTTTTATATCACTTGAAGAGTGAAAGTGAGAAGAGAGCGAGCAGCAGATCGATCGATCGATTAGCAGCAGATTGATCGATTAGCAGCAGATTGATCGATTAGCAGCAGATCGATTGATTAACTTAGATTACTTAATAAATAATCAAAAGAGAGATAAAGCTCAAGAGCAATCATTGATGTTTAGATTACTTGGGGAGAGAGAAACAATTGAGAACACCCAGTTGATTTTTAGACTAATTAGAGAGAGAAACAAGTCGATCAAATACAGTCAGTCATTACTTGGGGAGAGAGAAACTTAAAGAGAGAAACCATCGAGAATAGAGAGAGAAACAAGGCAATCAAAAACGCGAGGTTGATTGATTACTTAGAGAGAGAAACAGTGAGCAGCCGATTGATTTTTTATTTTGGGGAGAGAGAAACAGTGGTTTTGACAATAAAAAAGCTGATTGATTGGTCAATGGCCAGACGGAGTTGAAATTCAAGAAACGGTTGATCAAAAAAAGCAGGAGGTATGTAGAAACAATTCAGGAATAAATCAACCGAACCAGAGCTTTGATTTCCGAGGGGGATATCCCCTTGCTAATAAGCTCCCGGACCATCGATGCTTTTTCGTCTCGAATTGCCTTCTTGTGAGCCTCCTTTTTATCCATTCGATCCCCCTCTAGGTTATATTGATCACGTTCCCATTGTAGTTGGGCCTCAAGTTGCTTATCTTTTCTTTCATCGGCCAATCGCTCTCGCTCGTCCTTTTTATCAGCTCGGGCATCTTCATGTTGCATCCTTTCTCTCTCCATGGTCATCTGGGATTCAACCATCTGGAATCGCGTGTCGGTAGAGTTGCTGAAAGCCGCTGCTAAGGTTGCCTTGGGTGCTACTTGAGGAGTAGCTGACTGCGCACTGGACATTGAACCAGTTTTTCCAATAGGGGTTGGCCGGCCACGGCCGCGACTTGAGTTTCTACCTCGTTCAGACGGAGTTGGGGTGGCCTGAGGACTCGATTGGCCTGCTGTACTTCCAGCTTGTGTTTGACTGTTGTGTACATTGGCAGCTGGTGTTTGAGAGGGTGCTTGCGACGGATGATAGCCTGCAAGATCAAGCGAGCTCAGACTGGCAAAGTTCAAACCTCGAGGAGTCGGAGTACTGTTTGGTAGAGAAAGCGAGTCAGGGAGCTCGTCAGCCGAAGTCGATTGTGTAGGGTCCCACCCTGAGTAAAAAATTTCAGGAGAAGAGTCCATCTGATTTTCGGCGTGTTCGTCTTCCAGATTATCATTCCCCACCGCTCCGTCGTCTTCTTCGTCATTTAGGGAGATGTTGTGGAATAGAGATCGTTCCGCGGTACCCTTGCTAGGTAC